CCCTTTTTTAAAAAGTTCAGTAAAAAGAAATCTCATTTTTACAAAAAATACAAATTTGTTACCACTATCACTTAGCATAACTTCTAGATGCTTCAACAGTGCAAGAAAGCTTAGCATGAACACTGCTTTTTGTCCAGACACCACTGCCACTGAGCATAAACAACAAAGTATGTTTTTGAGAACTGAAGCACCGACTTAAAAAAATAAATTCAAAAAGCCCTAAATATCCAAAAAAAAAAAAAGACAAAACCAGTTACATTCAAGAAAAGACTTGAATTACATCACAACTGCCAAAGTCCTCCAATTTGCTATTGTAAAGGCACTGTTTTTTTAATTCTATTTTCCAGCCTTAGTGCAAGAAGGTGAATCCTGCTGCCTCTAACGAGAGCCATAACTGGTGCTCCAGAGTGTGGGTGATGAGCGCGTCGTCCTGCCCGAGGACTGAGAGCTGGGGCAATGTACAGGTGATAGCGAGAAACCTGAAACACAGGGAAAGGAGAAAACAGTCCTACTGAGGAATGGTGGGAGATGATGACACAAGTAACTGCTGTTGATGGTCTGCTGGGCACCTGGGAGTGAGACTAATGAGCCAATCACAGTGAAATAGTCCCCTCAGTTTACAGCCTCGTGAAAAGATAGCTCATAAGTATCAAAATTGTCTAGGTTTTTCTATTTGGGACTTTTAATTAAAGTCTGAGTGGGGCACAACACATTTCATCTCAGCAAGCGACTCTCGTTTGAATTTGCCTTACTTTATAGAATCATAGAATTTAGGGGTTGGAATGGACCTTACAGATCATCTAGTACCAACCCTCCCTGCCTTGGGCACAGACACCTCACTAGATCAGGTTGCACAAGGCCTCATCCAGCCTGGCCTTGAACACCACCAGGGCAGCCACCACATCCCTGAAGCACCAAGCATGCAGGCACTGACCTCTTCTCTCTGGCAACCAGTGACAAGACCCAAGGGAACAGCTGGAGCTGTGTCAGGGGAGGGTTAGACTGGATATTAGAAAATGGTTCTTCACCCACAGGGCAGTTGGGAACGTAAACAGCTCCCCATGGAAGTTGTCACCAAATTGCTCAAGAGGCATTTGGACAATGCTCTCAGGCACGTGGTGTGATTCTCAGGGATGTTCTGTGCAGGGCCAGGAGCTGGACTTGATGATACTCAGCAGTCCCTTCCAGCTCTGATGATTGCATTTAGAAACAGGCCTGCAGCTCACTCTAACTTACATACATCTGTAACCAGGGGAGTGATTTTTAATAGCCAGTGTTGCTTGCAGACCTGCCTACATTCACTTCCAGGCAACAGCCAGATTAAGCAATGGATTCACTTCTAACTGGGGGACAGCTGCTTACTGTTAAGGGTGTGCTGAGGATCTGTCCTTGGGCTGAAGACTGGGTGGCTGTGCTGTCCTTTGGGCGAGAACACTGCATGATAGGCTGCAAAGCAAGAAAAAGTATCATTCTACATGCAAGTTATTCCTTTATATCTCACAGCATGTAAGAAGTTATGGAAAAAACCAAACTTCCGCAGTCATTCTCTTACCTATGATCATCACAGCTGTCCCTGCCAATAGTGCAAAAAGTGTGAAGAACATCACGCGGTAGGAATCCACAAAGTGCTGGAATAGAGTGGCTTCATCTGCAGAGGGGATGAAGAAGAGACAACATTGAGTTAAAAGAGCATCTTCTCCAATCTGCTCAAAGAGTTAACAGTTCTTAAACTAAAATAGCCAAAAGCAGGTTTTCATATATAGCAAATAAGTGTAATCAACTTAGATAACACAACTTTGATTCTAGCGACTGTTTCCAACGCAGTCTTCAGAATTTGCCAATTAACAGCTTAAGACATTGATTGAAGTTGTGGCTGCCCCACCCCTGGAAGTGTCAAAGGCCAGGCTGGATGGGATTGGAGCAACCTGGGCTAGTGGAAGGTGTCCCTGCCCATGTCAGGGGGTAGAATGAGATGAGCTTCAAGGTCCTTCCAACCCAAACCAATCTATGATTCTATGATTCTATATACAACATCTTAAGTGTGTTCTTCACTTTCTCAGCTCCAAAATGCTGATCTGTTTTCAAAACAGCAAGGCATGCTTGAGAATAAACAAAAAGAGAGCAAAAGAAAATTCCTTTCAGACACTTCAGCACTGGGTATTTGTATCATCTTGGAGTATTCTAGGCTGACTTCAAAGAAAAATATGTTTAACTTCAGTCATAACGAACAGTTGTATTCCAGTCTTCTGGTCACAGAGAGCAGCTCCCAGGTCAACGATAAGCTTAGCTGCCAGCTCAGATTTTAACATACCAAATAACATTAGTCGAAGTTAAAGGCTGCTTGTGGCATATGAAGTCTAGATATGAACTTACGTCTCACTGGTACAGTGGTTCTGTCAGTTGTGTAAATCACAGTCACTGGGATGGTAATAGATTGGTCAGTCATGGGACTGGAGACAGTGAGAGTGGTGGACATGGAACTCTGGCTGGAAACTCTGGGATCAGCCAGACTAACAGTATAGACTACATAACTGGGCAGTCCATAGGACTTCTCTTTCTGAAATGCCTTCACTGTTGGTGATCCACATTTCACCTGCCAAGGGAAAAAAACCACCTGAAACAGACTGCTTGGCATGGCACAGCACATATCCCCAGCTCAGAAATGTGTTACTTCACAGAGAAAGAGCAGTTCACTCCTCAACACCAGTCAAATGAGGCTGTACCTGCAGCACTTCCCCTCTGGTTACTGCCAAGGTTGCCCTCTTACCTGCCATTTCTATGGGCCTGGGCTAACTCCACATAGCAAAAATCAAAGGGTCCCTCGGTGTTGCTACAAGAGCCATGGGCAGCCACACATACAAGTGGGCAAGAACCTACCCCTGCCACAGGCTTTCTGCTCCCCTGTGGGTGAGCTGGTTAATACAGCCCAGGTAGCAGGTGAGCCCAGATCAGTCTGACACACTTCTACCCCAAAACAGAACTGAAAACTGAGGAGAAGGAATACAGGCTAAGATGAGCATTTCAAAATCATTTTACGAACAGCCTAGACATGGTAAAGATATCACACAGTGCCCTTGGTTAGAAAGCTGCGTGTGACAGTTCAAAACACTTTCAGCTGTGCTGTGATACTTTCCAGTAATACACTCACCTCCAGGGTATCCAGAATTTCAGTGGCACCAAATATTTTCACATCTGAGCTGGTGTAATGGTTGCTTAAAAGTATTTCTGCCTGATCAGCATAAAAGCCAGGATTGAATGACACCTCAGCACTGATCTGCTCCCCAGAGAAGTGGCTGCCCTGCACTGCAGCCGTCACTCTCAGCGCCCTTCGGCTCATGCTCAGGTGCTTCAGCTGCTCATCAGTGAGCCTGTGCATGGTGATGGAACAGGTGTAATGTCCTGCAGAAACAAGAGCAGTCTGTCTGGTAATTGCTCATCTTTATGCAGAGTAAGCTAACGAAGGTGGCAACCAACAGCAAGATTAGGAGTGTGTAGGTGAACAGGACAGTGTGTCTGCTGGGCCAAGCATCAGAGCCCCAGCACTAGAACTACAGCTATTTCTTGTCCCAAACTAAACCTCATGAAAATACACTAAACTGGTAGTTTCTAGTCACATTTTAATACACCAGTGAAACTAAATTCACTTTGAACATAGCAATAATGTTAACATTGATAGAAAGGTTTTAATGAAATCAAAATCTAAAATCCTGTTTTATATCCTCTTCAACTGATGTTGAAATTCCAGTCAGTTTCATCAAATGTATGAAGATGTGGTTTATTGTTTATAAAAGCTTCTTTAAAGGTTAGATACTCACCATGTTTCTAGTCTCTTACAGGACCTATTTATCTACTATGAGCAATAAGGATATCTTCCAGTATGGAAGACACAAAGCGTAAGTAACAAGCAGGTACAGATTTTCCCCTTATTTTCTTCCCTTAGCCAAGTACCAGAGACAGCCACTATTATGCAGGGTAGAACAGTGTGTTACACAATGGGTGAAGGGACCAATCTAACAAATAATTAAGGTTATTTCCATGGTGTTGTGGTTCTGGTTGAAATCATGTTACAGTTCTGAAACACAAACATATGTTGTGGACTCTCAAAAATTTATTTCCATTTCCACAGCATCTGGTAATTCCCTTTCCTTTAAATCCTGGTTCATGATGTTTTGGGGATACATTCCAGTTTGGGAGTATTTGTCACCTGAGTGCTCCTTTCTTTGACTTACTACAAAAAGTCTGAAAAACATGAAATGGGCTGCCACTGATTTCTGGCTTTCTCTGAAAACAATTGTTTTTGTCACAGGCAGAAAACTCTACTTACACAAGAAGAGTCAACACTAACAACTCACCGAGGCCTGAGGTCCTACATGGCAAAGCTCAGAGGTTTCAGAAGGGAATAGAGTAGGTTTTGGGAAAAGAGATGGGATAATGGGAAGAAATTCTTCTCTGTGAGGGTCATGAGGCACTGGCACAGGTTGGCCAGAGAAGCTGTGGCTGCCCTGGAAGTGTTCCAGGCTATGTTGGACAGGGCTTGGAAGCAACCTGGGCTACTGGAAGATGTCCCTGCCCATGCCAGGGGGTGGGACTGGATGAGCTTTAAGGTTCTTCTAACCCAAACCAGTCCAGAATTCCATGAAGTCTGCTAGGTCAAAGAGCTTTGGGACTGAAGCACAGTGTGGCATCTTGTTGTATCTTACCTGAAACTGCATCAAAACCAGGTTCTGCTATAAAAATATCCTGTGCTGGGAAGTCAAACACATCACTGTTAAAATCTACGTGGCAACTGATGATGGACTGTGGCCGCAACTCAGCAATGGCTTCAGTCTGGGCAGGCAAGCACTCCCCTAGGGGGAATGGAAAAGATTAATTAATTAGAAAATAAAAATATAACTGATTCATTGTAGTTAATTAAAGCAAATCCATGGCTTGAAATACCAGGTTACTCTGCCACCTTCTGAAATAGTTTCCCAAGGTTATGATGATCTTAAAATAGTTGGAAATCACCAACAGCTGTCCTAGCTCAGGTCTAATCCCAAAGAGACAGCAATGAAAATTTTATATGTTGTGGGTTTTTTTGACAGGAATAATTTATTTACAGGAAAGAATGAACTAGAGAGAATTTTCAGCTCAGTGTCTCTTGAATAACTTATATGATCCTGGGAGTCTCGGTTCATATTTTAGTATCTGACAAGATAGGTTTTAGGTATACTAATAATTTACATAAGGTACAATAAAACCATTGGAATAGGTGCTAAGTGTTAGGCTAGAAGGATCTATAATCATACAAACCAGAGCTTATTAAACAGAGAACACAATATGCTGCTTAATCTGTATATTGGTTTCAACTGATGATAAATTCTGTAAAACGTGTTCAGCAAGAAAAAATAGTAACTTCAAGAAGAGAATTTGAATTAAATACAAATGCAAGCAATCAGTTAATTGCCTATTAACTGTTTCGTGCTATGATCAAAAATGATACTTCTATTACCTACTGATTTTACAGGTTGTGAAATAGTAAGTGCCCCAGAACACCTTCCAAATTCTGTAACTTGGGCCCAAGATTCTTCTAGAATCCCTGAGATTCTGGGAAGGCACTAGAGGTTCCTAGGGATGCTGCTAACCCAGTTTCACAGACTCAAGCAGCAAACAAAAACCCCATAATGCAAACCAAAGCCACCTACCATGAACAAACAGGCAATAAACAACAGGCATAAAGATTTTTGTTCATCCTACCTTTCAAATTTTTATTTTTTTCCCCAACTGAAACTATTACTTTTGAGGCTGCGACTCCCTGTAAGCTTGTTTTTGCCCCCTTGACATGCACTGCTGTGGTCCTCTGAGGTGCATTAATCAATATCTGAAAAAAGGATTGAGGACACTGTTACCATAAACTGTTTAAACAAATAAAACTTAAGACAAAACCAGACTGAACTGATTGTGGAACACACACATCCTTGTATGTTTAATAGAAGACTCCAAGAGGTCATGTTTTCCTTTGAAAATCTACATTTCTCTAGTATTAGAAACTGCCTTTCAAGGCATTTGAAGCTAGCAAAAACATTTTGCCTTTCTACCCAACCCCCAGAAGTTAATCTGCATAAAGCTCTACATCTAAATTTAATTTAAAACGAATGTCTAGTTCTTCTGTTGGCTGATGCAGTGAATTGTGTCAATAGCACAATTGCACTGCCGAGAAACAAAATAATGTCACGGAGTACTTCTGATCAGTGATGTACAGCACAACACTGGGGAAGGTTCTTGCTGGCATCTCACCCTGCAGCAAAGCTTCATTCATAAAGCAGCCACACTCAGAACTAGTTAGCATCTGGAAACAACTTAGCCAAAAAAGAATCAAAATGTACCATGTAAGAACAGTACAGGTGAAAAATCAAAACTGTAATGCTAAATTTTCCTCCTTAGCAAAGATTATTAAAAAAACCCCAAGATGTGTTTGGACACACACCAAATACTTCCCAACCATTTGCATTTCTAAAAGAAAGTCTCAGAATATTTATAGCAAAAGGATCACAGAGTACATTCTGGCAAAGGCTCACCCAAAGCAAACAGCCCCAGCAGCTCTGAGTAGCAATGCCTTACCTCTCTGTATGTTTTCAGCAGCCCAGGAATCTCGTAGTAGACAGTGACCACCCCGGAGTCCCTGGCCAGGGCCACACCAGTCTTGGAGTCCACGTGAAGGACAGCACTTGAGGAGCTCCACACACCCTGCAGGCCTGGGGAGACACACCATGTGCTCACTGCTCAACAAAGTGATGGCAACTGAAGCATTTAATTGCCACAGTGGTGTGTGTTGTACCCACTGAACAGGCAGTGTGGGGGGTATACACACCTCCCAGTTCACACACGCTGCCAGACTCTAGAGTTTCATGGTGGAAGGCTGCAGCCCAACACCAAACTGACCTGCAGCTACTCTGACAAAAACCCATTAATACCAAGAATCAAATACAGTGAATGAAGACAGTCCTGATTCTGCCTGATTCCCATAAAAACAAGCCTTTCCACCTAATGGGATAGAACCATCTGAAGTCTGATACCAGGAATTCAATACAAGAGATGTATTGCACAGTACGATTAAGATTAGGAGTTGATCAAACCTATTTTTACCATTAACAAGAACTGTGACATTTGACTCTGAACAAACATCATAAATTATGCATTTGGTTTCCCTGAGAATGAGCCAGAGCCACACTAATGTCACATGAAATAGCTGCCAAGCCACAGCAGCTGGATGCCACTTACCTTCCTGAGGTGTCAGTGAGGTGCTCAGACAGAGGACATCCCCCACCACCACATCTGTGAGGTCAGGGAAAATGGCATGCTGCACAGGAAGTGGGATGTAGTCTGCAATTCCACTGTGCTCTGCATCCCAGACTTTAAGCAAGGTCAGGCCCACGTTTACAGTCTGGACTACAAAGGTGTTGTTTGTGTCTCCTTTCCCAATCTGTACAAAGTCATCTCTGCAGGCAAGAAGAAATGCTTCTAGACTAAGGCAAGTTTGCTCATGTCATTTTCTCTACAATACATAGGTATCAAACCTTTTAGCTGGCTGACTGCTTGTTTTCAGCAAGTTATCTTCTAATGAAGTCCAACAAAATAAGGAAAATATAAAAATTATTTTGGTGCTACTCAGGCAAATTTCAGTTCTCATCATTATGCTTAGGAAATACTGAGGTCATAATTATGTATCAGAACTACTTTCTGATTTTAATAATTGCAGAGCTTTAGAATGATAATCTATTTTCCCTTTTGTCAGGGAGTTAAGAAGCAAAGGAATTTGAACCCCAATGTGCAGCTTCCCAGCCATAACTTTACAAACCCAAATTCCACTTGACTGCAAGTTCTGCTACGTACCCAAATTCAGCACTCCCAAACACAGTGACAAATGGAGCACCCAGCACAGAGACTGCCACGCTGGCAGCACCACCACTACAGACATGAAGGTGCTGACAGCAGTGGTGCTGGGTCCCCTCTGCGCTGCACCTGAGGCTAACAGGCAGTGTCTCTCTCTAGGGCTCATCATGAGCCCTGGGCTGGGACAGCTCTGCAGCAAAAGGCAGGGCAGGCTTACCTTAGAGGGGGGTCTGTATGTTACAGAAATTTCTGCACTGATGTAAAAGAAAAGAGAAAATCTTGCGTTCAACCCCATTTTGTTCCCTTTTTGTCATGATCACTGTGTAAGTGCAAGGTGCTCTGAGGACAACAAAGGATGCTACAGTAACAGGAGTGGCTGTTTACTAAGGACCAAGCAAAGCTGGTTTATAGGCAGAGAGTGAAAGGGCTTTTGAGGCTTGGCTCGGCTGTACAAAGGCTGTACAAGCATATCTGAAGAGACAGCCCCTGATCCAGAACCTTCAGCACCTTACATAAGCCTGAAGCAAGTCACTGTAGCACAGCACTGGGCGAGCAGAGGCAAATGCTAATGGATCCATTGTTTCTACAGGCCACTGCTGTATGCAGTGTGATGATTCAGCCACTGAAAGCAGAAGGGACTACAGCAGGTCCCACTGGGGACCCTGCTGATCTGGGCAGCTTTCCATTGACAGGGAATATCGACCGCTAACTGGAACTCTTCTGCCTCTGGAGACTGCAGAGATGAAAACCTTTCTTTGCTAATCCTGGCCCAAGGAAGCTGTATCTTTGCTTGTTATCTTTGGAACAATCTTTGTTCTGTCTGTGTTTGGGCTCTTTGTGTTCTCTTTAATTCCCCCCTGGGACAGATCCCCACCTGTTAGTTGCAAAGTTGAGCACAGAATTATGCGAATGAAAAGTATCTCCAGAGTTATCGTGAAAATGCACTGTGAACGTCAGTGTCACACCCAGGGGCAGAGCCAGCAACACCTCTTTGCTCTGTGTCAGCAGAATGGGACTCATGGAGATCCTCAGGTATGAGATGGGGTAGACCTGGAAAAACATCAGCAGCAAGAAGGAAAGTTAAATTTCTTTTTATGATGCTTCTATAAAAATAATCTAAAAGTGTTCTTGTTATGCAAATATACAGAGCTTCCTTTATGAACCATTTTCTGTATGTTTAGCCACGTGCCAGTACTAATCCATGGAGCTGTTATTATCAGTATCTCCATTTCACAGGTTGAAAGGGTCCTCTGGAGACTGCCTATAACACCCCCCCCCCAAGCTGGGTTACCCAGAGCCAGCTGCCCAGGACCTGCAGGCAGGTCTTCGGCATCTCCTAGGATGAAGACTCCACAATCTCTCTGGGCAACCTGTGTTCACCAGCCACCCCAGTAAAAAGTGTTGTTGTATGCAAGACACAATTTCCTGTGTTCCACCTCTGTGTTCTCCCCTTGCCCTGTCCCTGAGCACAGCTGAGGAAAGCCTGGCTGTCTGCTTTACACCCTCCCAGCAGGCATTTCTTAGCCTTTTCTCCTAATCCCACTGTGAACTGAAGCAAGCAATAATGACATAGAAACACACATCACGAACTTCAGAGAGCACATTACTATGCTATAAATTCGAACTGCTAAGATCCCTTGGATATGCAAGAAAACAAGTGGACCCTAGACCTCCCTCCCAGTAATTCTTTAAACCAAAGTTGCCATTCATTCCCCAGTTTCTAGAAGAAGCTTACAATATATGTGGGAATAGGGGATGGAATGGTCCCTGTTCCCCAGTTCCCCTGCATCAGGTGAGAAAGCCAAGATGTTATTATCAGAGCTGGCAGCTGACAAACCCTAAGGGGTCAGGAGGCTGCAGTTTGTTCCCTCAATGTTCTCCTCAGCCAAGGCAGAAGTTAGGAACTGCTCCAAATTCCTTGCAAGACTCTGCTACATTGTCCATATGTGCACACCCCCACATTTCTGCAGGAACACTCCAGTGAAGGAAGTTTGGTTGAAGACAAAGACTTCACAACCTTTTGTTTTGGCTTTCAAATAGCATATTACTATTCTTGATTAAGTTTCCTAGATTAACTAGCAAAATTACCCAACAAAAATAGCTATATCTGCTCTTTCTGTTGCAGCTGTTGGAAAATAAATAATGAAAGGACAGAGAAAGCAAAACCCCTCAAATGTATGGAGAAAACTATTTTAAAAGAAACCCTCAAGCTTATATTGTAGGAAAATCCCTTTTTTTCTGACCTAAGAGATTCAGCTAAAATGTAAAACTCTGCAATCTGAAAATGTACATGTCAGAACTTAAAAAGCAAAGGACAAATTTGGCCTCAAGCAAAAAACATCTTTGGTGAATCAAAAAAAAAAAAAGTGGCTAGAACATTAGCAAATACAACTGTGCTGCACAGGCTGATACCACCGGTTACAATCTCAGGGCATCTAGCCCTCTCTACCCAGAGAGCTGAGGTTACAAGCTAACAAAAAAAACCATTTCCCTGACAGATTTTCCCAACCTGCTCTAAAAATCTCAGCAACTGTCCCACAAGGGACAATGGCTAAATTTAATATTGATGAAAACAGCTATTTACTGTTAAAGCATCTCATTTCTGAAGTATTTTTGTTTCTTTGAAAACAAGTCCTAAGTCCAGTTGGGCCAGGCCACTGCTCAGCTTGCTGCCATGCTGGGCACAGCCACTGTGGCTTCCCCAGCCTCCTGGGCTTATATAAGAGGCTTGTTCTGAGCAAAGTTGAAGGTCTAAGTGTTAAGTGATGCTGCTGCAGCAGTTTGGTTCTTAATTGTGTAGAGCTGTAAACAGACAACACAAGACCTTATGACAGAAGGGCAGTGTGAAGGAGAGAGCTTTGGTTGCAATGATATGACAGATTCGAACTCATCTCCAGCTCTGTCACAAGTTTTTTGACACAACCTCCGGCAAAACCTCTCAAACTCTCTCTCAGCTCTTGAGCCATAAAGTGAACCAGCAGCACTGTCTTACCTCACAGAGTCACTGAGAGGTTAAAAATAAAATCTCTATAAAAGCAAAATAGTTGTAATAAGAACAGGAAAACAAATGAGCTGTACAAGATGCTGAACTGAGATGGTTCCTACTACACAGAGCTCATGAGCTTCACATCACCAGACACTGACTGCACAGCTCTGAGACATCCTGTGAACAGAAAGCACTCACAAAGGGGGGCAGTCAACTTCACTCCCACTGTGTGCTGACTAAATGTCATTTGAACCAACCCCAAACTCATTAGATGCCTCTCCCTCACTGGATCCAGCAACAAAGGGAAAAAACAAGGTCATCTGTAAGACAGCTGGAGAAATTCCCTGCCACCATCTCACAGCAGGAGTGACTGAAACCAAAGCCCATTTCTTGTTTCATTCTCCACCCAGGGAGACAGACCTATACACTGTCCTACAAAGCTGAACATGATGGTAAACAGCAAAATTCAAATTAAAAAGAACATCAAAACAACATGGCACTTCATTGTGATCATAGTAGTTAAATTTAGAAATAATTTAAAGTCACCACTCAATTTTATGTGTTTCTCCCTTAGCTGGGACATAGGAAAGCTGCTGACAGTAAACAGGGATGGGAGGAAGTGGAGCAGTGGATACATCAAGGCTCCTATTGCCTGATGCAGAAAGTCCTTGGCACAAGGACTTTTGGACAGAAACAAAGGATGTAAATTCCCTTGTGTCCCAAGCACCAATAAGACACATGAGACTTCCCAAAACAGCATTCAATCAACAGATGAAGTTTTGGGAGAGAAGAATGTTTCATTAGTCAAAACACACTGCTGAGTTTTGATACAGATTTGTCCTGCCCCAAAGCACCCACATTCCAGTGCACTTCAGGGCAGCCTTGGACATACTCCTTGCCAGTTCACCAAACACAGGTAGCAGCAGCTAAATCACTACTCCTATGACAGGGTTTGTCATGCAGAGATTCCCATTCCCTGCAAGGGCTGAACTGCTGGGAAACAGTAGAGAAAATAAAATTTTTGGGGCACTGTACAGTTGCATCTCTGATACCTTGAAAATCTGGGTCTTGCTTAGGTACCTCACAACAGATGCTCCATTTAATATTCCTGACTCCAGATGGTATTTACATTTTCACACGGCAAAATGCATGTTTATATCACATCACATTTTATTTGAACTTCTCCAATTATCACCCTTGTAAGAGATTTTTCGGGCAAGGCTTTTTGAAAAAACTTTTTAAGGCACATGTAGGCAAAGGTCTCTTGGCAAAATGGACCATATTTAAGAATTTGATGGGAGTTAATGTTTGTCCATCTAAGTTTAGTACACTAAACTGTTTACAAAGCTAAGAATTGACTTTTAATTCCTATACTGCCCATTTTTCAGGAATGAAGTTCAGCATGTGCTGCTAACCAGTCCTGCTGTAGCAGCAGGGACAGCAGAGAAAGAGCTGATAGTACCTTAACAGCAGCTATGATCGTCTGGTTGATCCCAAAGGACTCTTGGGAGATCACTTCAATGGTTGATGAGCCTGTCAAAGACCCAGAGTTCAGGAAACCTCTCTCATCAATTTTCACAACAGGAACTTTGTCTGGTCCATCCAGGACACGGTAACTCAGGAAAGCCACTCGGTCCCTTAAGAGAGCAAACAAACAGAACAGAAAACCAAAACCCCTTAAATGAAACAAACCATATTTTCACCAATAGATTGTGCAAGTCGAAAAGATTGATATTTGGTGTGGGGTTTTTCATGGGTCTGCAACAAAACAATGCAAAGCCTATGTTCTAGTCTTAGAAAGCAAAGCTTAAGTTCTGATTCAAGCTCACTTAGAAGTCTTATCTGGGTTTAGGCATGTATTGAAATCTAGTTTCTATCCACTGATGTAAACATGACTCCAGATAATTACATCTAAGGCTACACCAACCAGTCTCTGCTATCATGTTCTGCAAACAATACTCAGAGAGAGATTAGTCTGCCAGGGCCAATGCTGGTATTAAAGAGAAAGCCAGGGACTTGATTAAGTGGATCTCATCAGTTTCCTGGAAGTGGTTTTGTAGACAAGGTTAATTTTTGGAATAGCTCTTGCCATGGTATTTGCATATTAATACAGTCAGCAAATACATCAACTGCAATTAGTGGGCATTCTGAGACATTAGCTGCTTTTAAGTATCACTTAGCACATCTTCTAACAGATCTGTACAGGAGGTTTTTCCCTCCCAACCACCTTCATTTTATCCCAGGAACAAAAGCATTAAAGCTGGATTTTAGTCCCTCTTTCCTTGGCAATAGTAATTGGTTTTGGTGGAGTTCAGACAGGACAGAATGCATAGTGAGGAAACTGGGACAAAGACATGTACACACTGGTATCTATCAACTTAATGACCAATTAATCAGAAAAACTGCTCAGAAGAAGAGAGCAGAACAGTATCAGTGACGACAAATGACAGGGCTTCTGTGGAACTGTTTCAGAAGCAGATACTGAATGGCCCATGGTCATGGGAGATCCAGCTCAAGGCCAGGCTGGATGGGTTTGGAGCAACCTGGCCTAGTGGAAGGTGTCCCTACCTAAGGCAGGGGATGGAATGAGATGGTTTCTAAGCTAGGAACACCACATTTCAAGCCTGAAATGAGTCTGAAATGTCAGTCTCTGAAAGCAGATTATATAAAAAGATTTTTTCATTTGGAAATCACATTTTAATCTCCAAATCCAGTCACAGCCTCTGTGTAAAAAATGCAGAGAAAGCCTCAGTCATCCATCCAAACCTCTGCTGGAAGCAAGCTACTGCTTTAACTGCCACAACAGCTTTTACAGTAAGAATCTAGAAGTTCCCAATATTGAATGAATTTTCTAGTTATAACCCAACTAATACAAGATTTGACAAAGCCCAAGGGAACAGATGAGTTACTATTAATCACCAGATAGGTTGAGTATTAAATGGATACACTGTGATATAGCTTCCTTCAAACAGAACTACCTTACGGTTTGATAAAGTGTTGACACAAGCTGCAGTATGAAAACTAACCTGTTTGTCTGAAGTTTGATAAAGGAATTTGGTGACATTAAGATCTGCTCTGCTTCCACTTCTGGAGTGACTAGATGAAGTTTTTCAAACACCTGGAAAATAAAAGGCATTTTAGCCTACTGTTGTGATCAGCAAGTAATTTATTGCCATTTATTTAATCTTCAAAACAAACACAAAAACCCCAAATATAACACCTTTTTTCCCCCCCTTGTGTAATATATATGGTAAAGAGTACCAACTAAATATGAATACTTGAGAATGGGATAAGCAATACCTTCTACAAATTATTCTGAAGAGCATTTATTTCTAGGGCTACAGCTAAACTAGGAAGCAGCATGAAAACAGAAGATGTCTCAAGTGAAATGGAGTTGGAGACCACTCACTGACCTGAATTCCTTTAGATTATCCCAAGCCTGAGCCCATGCGCTGAATCCACACATGAGGAACATTATACAAACAAGAGTAAGGGCTCAAAGATAAAACAAAGCTGGAGCTACTCCTCTGCATTTCAAATTCCTGACTTCAAATACAGACTTGAATTCAGTTCTGAAATAGATATTTAAACATCAGCTGTGAGGAAAATCATCTTACCTGAATCTGGATTTCATCAGACAGTTCTCTGGCCATGTTGTAGAACTGGCTGGCTGCAGGATCAAGGACCTTCACAACAACTTTCAGACCTGTTCTTCCCTCTACTCTGCCATAAACATCCATTGCAAAGTTATATTTTGCAGGAAGCTGAAAAGAAGCCTTGGACAGGAGAAAGGGATTAAAATTTGATTTATGGAAAGAATGGACATCGGTACAGAGGAAATACCACACAGTGCTGATAATCACTCTTTGATTTTGACAAAGTAGAGCCAACAATATTCCCTCAATTCCCATTATGGGCAGTTTGCTTTTCCCTAGATCCATACACATGCAAATAAACACACACACACACACACTTTACCTCACTGTGTCTTGTCTTGATATCCAGAGTGTCCCTCTTTGTGACAGACCAGTGGAACGTTAATCCTGGTACAGCATTGCCAAAGGAGAAAGGAGTCTGACTGCTGGTGATGCCCATGACATAAACTGGCATCTAGGAATAGAGAAACCAACCTGCTTAGGGAATTCCAGGATTCTAACCAAACCTGCACACAGCAAATGGAATTAAACTCAGAATTCACTGGCTGAGACATGGTGTCTCTTATGAAGAAATGAGTTTGGCTGACATATAAGCTGCAAGGATATATCACACAGAACACTCAACCACCAACTTGTCCAAAGTCAATTTTGATTCATTCTCATTTGGTATATGCTCTACAAACAACAACTATCATTTTTTTATCAGAAAAGGAGAGTTCAGTAATTCATTTGTTCCCTCTGTAGCATCAAATCACTTTGTCTTAGTCAAGTCCTACACTCTTAAGTTTTCTACATCTTTCTCTAGAGCTCCCTGACTAACTCTGCTCTGGACACCAACCTTCCTCTTCCAGCTCACTAAATTAAGACAACATCATGTATGAAACACAAAACAGGAATGTCCAAGATGTTATTTTTCATCAATCCATTCACCTGGGGTCAATGAGCCACCATCACTGGCCATTCTGAATGAGTAACTAATAGGGCAAATACAGACTCTTCACAAACAGGATTATTAAATGACAATTTAAGCAATACCTGTTGTTCTGGATATAACAGACATCCTGGAGACTGCTAGAATAAAAAGGAAGGAAGCCTCAATGCAAGCAGAAGCAAGATGAGAGAATCCTTCTCCAGATTAAAGGATGCCTCAGCAGAGCCTGAATTTATAAAAATCTCGTGTAGAAGGCAAACTTGTCCTGAATTCTGCTTTAGTATCATAGAATCCCACTGGTTTGGGTGGCAGAGACTTTAGAGCTCCTCTCATTCCATCCCCTGCCATGGGCAGGGACACCTTCCACTGGCCCAGGTTGCTCCATGCCCCATCCAACCTGGCCTGGAACACTTCCAGAGATGCAGCAGCCACAGTTTCTCTGAGCAACCTGCACCAGTGGCTCACCACCCTCGCAGGGAAGCTTCTCCACTGACAGCACATTCCCTCCTGCAGAAGCAGTGGGGCCATTCTAAGCTGCAATGGCATTACCAGAAGATCTAACAGGAATGGTCATAACTTGTAGGTCACATGTTAAGGCAACAGAAGCAAATCACCACTCACCTGTGTACCAGTTTTCATTCGTGTAATGGGTGCTCGAATCCTGACAGCTGTCAGCTGGACCACTTCAACTTCCACTTTGTCCTGGAAAGGGGGAAGGGAAGGCATTGGAAGCACTTGTCAAATGGGAACTAGATTTCACTTTCAGGCTCTAGCCATTATTTTGTCATTATCCAGTCACTGTCACCATCTGATTTGCATGTCACTTGTCACAGAAAATACAGAAGGACAAATTCAGTAGGACTGTAAACACCTACAAAAGCATTACCTTGAGATTGATAGGCATTGCAAAATGCCCCCAAATTGAAACAAAACAATCAGAATTACTGATGACAAGAATGATGGAGCTGAAAGGTGACAGGCAGCAAGGGACAAGATCATGGGGGTTCTCACAAGAAGAGGGATGAATATACACAGGAGGTAAAGGAAGACATTGAGATAATTAGAAGGAAATGAGTATTGTAGAGCAGCAAACAGGACAATCGAGAATAAAAGGATCTGTGTGACACTCTGATGCCTCCTTTTCACATATCCTGACATTCCTGATAGTTTTTAATACTAGGGAGGAAAGGTCAGACCTGGACCTCACTGAGCAGCAGATTTAGCTTTTAAGTTCACTCTGCCTCCTGCCACAGCACCAGGGCAGGCTGCTGCCCACGCATTAAAAAGCACAGTTTTCTTTTTATTTTAATTTTTTTTAAAGTACTTTGTGTCTCCTCTTGGCCTGTGCTGACATCCTTCAAGCACAGTGCAGCTGTCCTGCCTTGCCCTCACAGGAAGAAGTCATAAGATTTGGCCCGAGTTCTGTTGCTCTGAGTCTCATGCAAGTCCCAGGGACTTGTGCACCCTTACAGGCCTGCTCAGCTCCCTGACACTTCCTCACACTGTAGGACATTCTAGGATGGAATATCAGGGATTCACTGCTTGTGCCTCATAGATGGATTCAGACACAGTATAGACGAAACCTTTGCCACAGCCTGCTGCAGCTAAAGAGACAATGCATTTCTTGGGTAACATTTGCCTTCTGAATCCTACTGAGCTGAGACACTGCTAAGCTGGAAGGGGATGCAGGCAAGGACAACCTTCTGCTGTGGTAAACCTTCTTTAGATGGGCTTTTCTACATACACTGATCAATTTTCAAGGTATCAGTCAGGTCATAAGTCTCCCCAGGTTATCTGCAAAACTTTAAGGCACAGCAACATTTAGCTACCTGGTCAAGTTCAACATGTGCCAGCACATGTGTAAGTTCACAGGACAGGGAGTAAGAAAAGCTGAATTTACATCTTCAGGAAACCAGGGAAATGCACAAGATATCATTGCTAATGCAAAAAGACTACCCACCCTTTTTGGAGCCAAACCCATGAGTAAGAAAGCCTCTTTCAGCCCCAACAGTATGATAAACATTACCTGAGACACCACCACAAGCTTCCCTGTCTCTGCATCAACAGCCTGCACGACTCCTGTAACTGTGCCATTCCCAATGGCCACTCCTGTGAGCAGCCCAGTGCTGTTCACCGAGGCGATGTGCTCATCGCTGATGGAGAAGATGATGTTGGACTGAGGCTGAGGGCCTCCTTCAGAAGTGATCTGTTATTGACAGCACACAGAAAAACCACAGTTACCCCTTCAGATGTTCTGGTTAATGTTGCAGGGTACACCCCTCCCTGCTGAGCACCAGTGCCTCCAGTAAAAGACTGACTGAACCATCCCAGGGTATCTCAGGGCTTATTTCTCCTGCACACTGGTCCTTGAATCATGCTGGGGCTTGGGAAGCATCTGAGCTAAGCAGACAAGTGGACTGTGTGCTTCATGAAATGTTACAGACTGATGCTCCATCCAGCCCAGAAAATTTGGGAAAACTTTCCCTCCCTTTCTCTTCACCATCCATGGTACAGCTCTGCTCTGTGTTTCAGTCTGTACAACCAGCCCACTACACTTAGCTCCATGGGAGTGACAGATTGTGTCATGCTGTGCTGGTCTAACACAGAAAAAGCTGACACTGCCTTGACAAAAATAAACACAAACTCTTTGATCCAACAATACAGTAAAATGGAAAATGGCTGAAGAAACTGTTCTTGTTAGGAGGAGCATTCATCACAGAAATGGAGAATCCCAGACTGGTTTGGGTTGGAAAGACCTTAAAGCTCAACCAGTTCCACCCTCTGCCATGGGCAGGGACACCTTCCATGAGCCCAGGTTGCTCCAAGCCCCATCCAACATGGCCTGGAACACTTTCAGGGATGGAGCAGCCACAGTTTCTATGGGCAGCCTGTGCCAATGCCTCAGCACCCTCACAGGGAAGAATTTCTTCCCGATTTCTAGTCTATCCCTGCCCTCTGGCAGTGGAAAGCCACTTTCCATTGTCCTGTCCCTCCAAGCCCTTGTTCAAAGTCCCTCTCCAGCCCATTCAGTGCAAATGCAGCTAAATTTTCAAGTTGAATATCTACTGCTAAAAAATAAGTTATGCACAGTTATTTTAAAATAGAAATTATAAAAGAAAGAAAATATGTAAGAAGATGCCTCACCTGAATCATCGCCCCAATAATTAGGGTCACTTTCCTTGGCAGAAGTCTAAATGGGGGAAAGACCTATAAATAGAAATATGAATACTTGTGTTCAGGCTTTTTCAATCAGACACATTATGCCACAAAATGGTACAGTGTAAAACTGAGTCTTTACTTGCTTAATTACAGTAAATTGAGCATGCAGAAATTTAACTTATTGTTTGCAGTTAAAAAAACTACTGAAATCTGAAACAGACTGGCAATCTGGGCAACTTCTGGGCAGAATGATCTGTTTCTGGCAAATTAATTACTATACTGTAACCATAATTTATATATCCCTACTCTGCCATCACATAGATTTTGTTTATGAATATGTTTTATCAGGAATTATTTACCTCAATCTGCTGTGGAGCAGAGTTGATTCTTTGTCCTCTTTTGTCAGCCACAGTTGCCGTAAGAGTTGTGTGCCCAATGGCCATCCCATGCACGAGGAAAGCAGCAGTGTGGTCATCCAAAGCTTCCCTGAGGGGGCTGCACCAAAAACACATTCAACAGAGAACTCATTCAATTAACTACATGAATAACAAATGAAAAGACTTATCTGCTGTATGATGGTTTCATCACAAGGATGATTAAATGACTGTGTCTTATGGAAAATTCAGATAACCATCCCATTTCTTCATGTAATGGCTCTTTGTAGCCTGTGCTTTAGCTTAAAATGAAACCTCTGAAATGAAAATGGAACAAGTAACAGACAGAATGAGTTGGATACATTAAATGTGTCCTCACACAGAGCTCTTCACCTGACATTATTTGCCAAGTCACTGCTTCCAAGATGCAAAAGGCTCCATCAAATATTACAGGGTAAGAATAGTCTCATTCATCAGTCAACAACATTTGGTCTGTTAGTTTAGGCAATTTCATGACAAATAACCATTTTTTACCATTTAACAGGCAATTATAAGACTTCACAAAAATAACATCAATAAAACCCGCTATGGTATACTACCATGCCTCTAAGCCAATACCTTCACTCATTTTTTGCTTATTCTTATTTGCAGATTAATAAAAAAAACCCATTAACTTACACAAGTGAGACAATCTGAGATGCTGCCCTTAGTTTGAGATCCATGAGAGCAAAGTATTTTGCCAGGAAAGGTTTTTTAGAGTCATCCAGAACTCTGACATAAGCCTTCACTGTTTTTCCAATCTCCACCTGAAACACAGTCACATCCAGTAATTTTTCATTTCAACTATTCTTATTCATTAGCACAAATGTTTTCATTTTATTTGGTGTCACACTTATAGCAGGGTACTAGAGATAGTGCCCCCAGGTTAGATTAGCACTGATTTTAAAAAATAATCCTTGCCAGCTGGAGTTAGTGTCAAATGAAATAAATGAATGTAGGTCTTTCGGCTGGCAAGGGCATAATTAAAACATCCCAAAATATCAACACTTAGTTTGCATAAGGCTCACCCAAGCTGATAAGTGGAATGAGCTGGACTTTCTCTTCATTTTTAATACCTGACATAAGGAAAATGACCTTGGGGCAAAACCTACTCCTAAAAGAATTGATCTCATGCACTTTAAACAAGAGGAAATGTAAATGAGCATGTCCATATAAATTATGGATTAGCATTGCTGGGGAAATGCAGAATTGAGCCTGCTGCCACACAGAACGTGAAGCAACAGATACCTGATACTGTGAGACACTTATAACCCAAAGGGAGAAACAGAGACACAGGGAGATCACAGTGTCTCTTTGTTGTAGCATCTTGTACATGTCTCGTCTCCACGTGCACGACCAGCACGAGGGATCAGGGCAGTCTGGAACAGCTACTGGTGCTGGTTCAGAGCCACTAACCTTGTCAACAACTCGGACATACAGTTCCTGGAGATCAGATACATAAATTTCAGCTTTAGCTGGTGCAGGGAAAGCCAAGCACAAGTCATGAATCATTACAGTCACTGATCCTGGGAGCAGAGGCTGCACCTGCAATGTCAAAAGAAAATTCTATTAAAGCACTTCTTATTTTTATTCTTTGTTGTTCACAGGATAAAGTTTCTATCACTTTCAGGGTGGAAGCAGTTGGATGCAGAAGTCTCCAGTCCTTAGACACAGAGAATTCTTCCACCAAAGTAATGGTAAAGCTGTAAAATGCATGTAAAAACTCTCATGCTATTGAGCTAGTGCAAACAGCCTCTGGGCAGCAAGTGAATTAACAGATCTTCATCTAGAACAATCTGGCATCCTGTTATTCTTCTGTCATCAGGAGGAGGAAAACCACCACACAAGGAATCATTTAAGGCAATGAAGCTTAGTGGAAAAACAAAACAGGGAAAAAATAATCAGAGGCAGAGACTATGCTTATAAAGCATTGGTATTGCTTCCTGCAAGATTCCTACTTAAGTTACTGCTTTTAATCTGAATGGATGGTCAAAACCTAGTGGTAAGATCTTCCCAAGTAAGCATGATGGACAAATAAGATATTTCTTTGATACAACTATTATTTCATTGATTTTAACATAAAGAATGTACACATTACACCTGTTAAAATACAATGAGAACAGAACAATGAGGAAAGAGACCTCTGCTCACAGACACAAGCCCTCAAAACTAGGCCTTTCATCCCAAAGTCACCTCCACACACTTTCCCAGGGCTGTGCATCCACCCTTTGCTCACCTCACCTTTGCAGTTCTCTTACCATTTGCCTGCCCTTGCCACACACCTCAGGGACAATCCCAACTATTCTCTTCACCTTCACAGGTCCCTTACCTTTGGCCAGGGGCAGTGCAGATGTTGGGTGTCCTGCCCTGTGCACTGCCCTGGCTTTTCTGAGCCCTGCACAAGGTGGGATGGACAGCCAGGCCCCCAGTTCAAAGGAATTCAACACAACTCACAGCACCATGCGGCAGCACTACAGGAGTTAGCAGTCAGAGCAGTGGGGAGAGCTGACATTCTGTTCTTTCAGGGCACCACTCTTACCTTGCCCTCAAAATAGAAAGGAATATGAAGTTTTAATAAAGGTCAGCTTCCAGAACAGCAGCAGTTCCCCAAGTGGGTGGCTAACACAGGTGCTGAGGCAGAACACACAGCTCTGGGAAGCAGAGCAGGGACTGTGGCTTGGAGGAGGCAGCCAGCACAGCCACAGGAAGGGGGATGGAATAGAGCTCAGCCTGGGCTGGGAGACCAGGGAAAGGAAACTACCAGAGAGCCAAAAGGGCAAACAAGGCTACTGCAGCCTTTGACAACTGTTCTTGTCCCTCTGCCTCTTCTGTTCTCCCCTACTATTAGGTGTGCAGTGGCTCCCCAGAATACTGTTTACGACCAGTCACTCTTCCCCTGCTACCACCCAGGTCCAGAAAAGCTGCTCTGTCAAAGAGAGTGAGAGGTACAGAGCTTATCCCTGGCACACCCAGGGAAAAGTCTAGGAATCACTGCTCTAGATAACTTGAATTTAGTTTCTCAGAATAGTTTACTGTGAGAATAGTTTACTTGTACCAGCTTGGCTGCACTGGTACCTGCCCTGACACAGCACCCTGGAGCTTGCTGATTTGCTGGACAGACCATTCTGCTTCCATAGGAAAATCCATAGGTGACGCTGAGATTTACCTCAAACAGCACACAGGACTAACAAACTTGTAAGATGTGTGTGGGGAAGGTGTATTTTTTTAAAATGTGTTAAAAAGTGGACTCTTCTCTCCTTTAAACTGACAGGTAGATAAAAGAGACTCTTTCTATACTCCACAAAGCCTATCTCGCTGTCACTGCTCCACGCCTGAATTTCAGATGAGTGCAGTGAACTAATCTTGTGCACATGAGTTAAAGCACAGCTAAACCCATGGGGGAGATCTGACTGAAAAACTGTTAAGAGTTTAAACAGTGTACTATGTACAAAAATAAGTTCATCTCTTCTACTTTTTTCCCAGCCCTGTGCCTCGCTGACTTTGAAAAATATTCCCACCTTACACTGGCAACAGTTAGAGACATTAAAAATGTTTCATATATTCTTTTGATCTTCTAAACAATTAAAAAATCCACCTTAATTATCATTATTTCCCAACTTCATCCACATTGTTTCTTACAAGATGAATCTCTAAATTATAGATTTGTAAAGATTACTCTTTAAAGCTATTTGTGTCACTTCTAGTTCTTGTCTAATGAAAGCTACAATGCAAATATATAGTTTTATTGCTGTTACTGCAGGATGCATTTCATAGCCTGGGCCTGGATGAGGTCAAGCATAGCTGTAGTTTAGTTGCATCTTCTATTGAAAACATGCATCAAAAACTTAGTATAGAGATCTACTCTTTAATAGATATATATTCACAAAATCAGGATGAAATACTGTGATTAAAAAATACCCTGACATAGTACTAGAGGATAGAAGAACCCGAAGGCTTCAGAAGTACTGGCCTACAACAAATATTCCAATATTACTCTGGAAACCAGTTAACTTTTGTGTAACACTTCTGAATAATTCAGTCACATTATTTTTCACTTTGTGTCTATGAAATCTGGAATGTTTTACAGCAAAACTATAACAATTGAAGAACAACTTGGTACCAGTTTTCATCCTGTTCAGAGTACACATGTGCAGCACAGCTGTAATGAAACCATTTGCTAAACCTAAAACTATACCTGAAGTTGCCAGGGCAAAGATCCCCTGCCTGAAGCATGGCTGTGCAGGCAAACACATCCAAAATGCAGCTACTGCCCCTCTAGCCATGTGCACTAGAAATGACCAATACGGCTGAAACTGCAGAACAATATCCAGACTGCCAAAGAGGCATAAAAGAACAAAATACTGCACTCACCAAAGCAACACCTTGAGTTTCCTCATGAGTCACTCTCACGACATTTGCAACACTGGTATTAATGTAAAAATATCCAGAACCTTCTTTGATGGACAGTTCTGCCTGCAAAACCAGAAAAGCATCCAAAGTTAGATTGTATCTTTCCACTACATTGCTAACACTGCTTTCCTTACACATATTCTATCATTTGTGATATTTTCCTGCCTGCAGTTAGAAAGTAGCAAAACTACTCCTTACCTGTACATCAGGGTGGTTGTAAATGGAGACATCAGTTGGGCTCACTGTTACGTCCTCCATGCGCATCAGTTCAATGGTGGCAGATACTGGTACTAGACGTTCATACTGGAAGTAAAAATTGAGTTGTTACAGCAAACACTAAGAGTCAGAAAACAGTGCAAGTCTCTTGTGTATGCAGAGAGGATGCTTAAAGCAGTGAGCAAAGAGCAAGAGCTGGAGAAGTTTAGGTTTCTAGAATGCCCACAAGACCTCATGACTGGCTCAGAGGCTAGCTCTCCTCTGCAGCTAAGGGCAGGCACAGGGCATCCCTGGTCAAGACAGAGAACAAAGGCCCAGGCAATAAAGGTGTAGCAAGATCAGTGAATCAAGTCTGACAGGCACAGACTCAAACTCAGAGAGATAACTTCATACAGAATGATAGAGCACACAGACAGAAAGTTTTCTTCTACTTCCAACTCAGCTTTTCAGGATTCTTCCTAGCAAGTCACCAAAAGAAATTCCTCCTTAAACATAACTACACGAACACTGGATCAGCTACAAGTTTAATCACTCACTCCTAAAAACATTAGCTTTAAAAGGGAGAAAGTTTGATAGAGGAAGTTACTATTCTGTACTCATTTCATCTTATTAGCAGAATTTTTT